CACATATATAGTTCGCGCGCTTCTTATGAGAATCTAATGCCTGATGATTCACTCCTCACCATCATCCGTGGAAAAATTGTCTTTCTGGAAACCGGTTCCTGATGCCAAAAAGGTTGGGGACCACTGCTCTAGAGAAACCTCAAAAATTATCTTTTAAGGTGGCAACCATTTTTAGTTTACTATTTCTGTTTATCTTCTGGTGCCTCTTTTCTAGCAGAGAAAAATAATATGATATCTTAAGTAAAATTCTTTCTCCAAACTGGAAAAAGATATTGTAAAAAGCTTTCTCAACTCTTAGTTCCAGAGTTGGATTTTCTTTCCAGTGCATTATACAAATAATTCCTTTTACAGACAGGAGATTTCCGGTTCAAATGTTGCTTCCAGGAACTCCACACACTAATGTTCCAGAGTTTATTAGTTTAAAAAATAATGAAATAATCAGGCATGTTTTGTTAAAAGAAGCACAACAAATCGGATAGACTGCAGGAGGGTGGTTTTTATTAAGGTTCTTTAGCTTCTTAAAGAATGTTATCGCCACCTAACATCCTCTGCCTCCAATATACTGCATTCCTTAAGTCCAGAAACACCTGGAGTAGCTGGCGTTTCCTGTTCTCCCTGTTCTGGGAAATACAAGGGCCTGCCTGGAAAAGAATGCAGAGGGAGGGATTTTCTGGCCCAGACATAGCAATGTCAGCTGAGGTACAGGCGCCAAGCCTAGGAGTTCCTAGAAAAATAGTCAGAAAGCATTTAGACATATCAAATATTAAAAGGGCCCTGATCATGATTATAATAATGATGATTTTGGTACTTGCAAAGCCATAAGTATGAAGGGGACATGCCAGCTGGCAATCAGGCTTTTAACAACAGCAAAGATCTGGAAGAGCCACAAATACCAAATTTTTGTGTGCTCATTTTATTTCTCTACTCATTCTTACTGATTTGGACAGGGGAAGGGAAGTCGTGGAAGGGTGGGTAAAGACTCCACCTAGGAATTTTTCTCTTGCTTCTATATTTTTTTCCCAAGGTATCTGTTCAAAATTTTGTGAGTTTTAAAACAATTGTATATACAAAGGAAACTTACATTTTCATCCTGGGGTTCTGATTTTTTTTTTTTTCAAAATTCTTTTTTAGAAATACAAATATTTTCTGTACCTCAATATTTGTTTATTTCATTAATTTAAATAGTGTAAAGCAGTCCTAAAATAAAGAGTGCTTAAATTACCATCTAAGTGAATGCCCACACTCTGTGCCTTGGTGCATATATCAGGCACTCAAAAAAAATAATTATTAAGCAAAGGGGTTGTAAGGTAATGACTAGATACATCCAGAATTAATAAAAGTTAACCCTAAGGGATGCATAGAGCTTCTCTGAGTTTCATATTCCTTTGAACTAGCCCAGTGGGAGACCCCCTTAAACAAAAGAAGTGAAAAAATAGATAATGGGAATAACAATAGTGAGGGATCTAGGATTCTTACTGTTTGGTGACTTTAGTTTTCCTCGCCTGAATTCTCTTAAATTCTACATTAAAATGAGATTTACCTCTGATTTTGCCAGATAGACTGAGAGAAAGTATCTTGGGAATGAAAGGTGGTTTTGATCCAAGCCAAGATTGGATTGAGTAGGACTTACATGAAATAACACATGAAGGGGAAAGGGTTAAAGAGATATCCAAAGGTTGGTGGCCCAAAGATCTTAAAAGTGATCCAAACAATCTGAAGAAATAGACAGAATTGTTTATTAATGATTGTATATAATGATTATATTTGTAGATATAGTTGCTGTGGAGTATGAAAGCATTATCTTGTGTCTTTTGGGACTTGAGTGGATTGGGAGAGGGGAATGGGAAACTGAAATGCAATGATTGTAAAAATGAAGTGCTATCTTTTACTATTTGTTGCAATTGTAATAGCCATTCTAATTGGGGTGAGATGATATCTTATTGTGGTTTTTCAGTTTTAATAGGAAACCAATGGATCCAGCAATTCCTGATCCATGTGCTCCTTTTCTTCCCAGAAGGAGCCCCATCACGAATTAAAAGCCATTCCATGTTTTAATGTTTCCAAAATATTATCTTCTATCATTTGACTAGTTTTAAATTTTTATGTAAGTGGCAAAAAAAAAAACCCATTAAAATTTATATAATTTCCCCTTAGAAGGCTATAAATGCATTTATAAATTTTATATGCAGTACTTTTTATTATTATTCGGTGCAAAATGTTTTATGATTTCTGTTATCTCTTCTCTAATCTATTAGCTTAGTTTATTTCTTAATTTTAAAATGTAAGGTTTTAACCGGGCTCAGTGGCTCAGCCTGTAATTCCGTGCTTTGGGAGGCTGAGGTGAGTGGATTGCCTGAGCCCGCGAGTTTGAGACTCGCCTGGGCAACTTGGCGAGCCCTCATCTCTACAATAAATAAAAAATTAGCCAGGCGTAGTAGCGCACGCCTGTTGTTCCAGCTACATGGAAGGCTGAGACAGAAGGATCACTGGAGCGGCCACTGCACTCCAGTGTGGATGACAGAGTGAGACTCCAACTCTAAATAAATAAAATGTAAGATTTTTTCTGGTTTTATTCTTATTGATTTCTGGCTTAATTTCTGTATTTTATTTGTATCATTTTTGTCATTAAAATTATGTATTACAGTTTTTAAATATCACTCGGTTAATTTTATAGCTCAAATTTTCTATATTCTTATTGTTTACCAACATATTTTATTGAAAAGACTAGTAAAATCTTCACCTATAATGTGGTTGTAACTATTCTTTTCTTGCAATTTTGTCAGTTTGTGCTTATATATTCTCAGGACATGTAGTCAATAAATGTAAATTTAGAATGGTTAAATCTTCCTGACAAATTGAAACTATTATCATTATGAAGTGCTATTCTTTATTTCTAGGGATGCTTGTCATCTAAAAGTCTACTTTGTCTAGTATACCATCCTGTGTTTCATTTGTGTCTTATGTTTTTAAAAAATATTCCCCTTGTTTAAAAAAAAAAGCCAAAAAAGTTGTATTTTTAAATCCAGTGTGATAATCTTTTCTTTTAAATTATTTTTACATAATACAATTACTGATAAGTTTAATAGTGCATTTTCCATTGGTCCTACCTCCTTCAAATTGTATTTTCCTTCATTTCTGATCTGCTTTTGAATTGATTTGAGTACTTTGTATTCATCCTTCTTTCCTTTTATTGGTTTTAATTATTTCCTTAGAGATTATCTGAATACATTATATACCATGAATTTGTTACTTATCAGGATCATATATTAATTGGCAATTTCACTTTCTTCTTGGATAAAGCAGACATTAGAATATTCTAATACAGTTTATCTTCTTTGAATTGCATCCTCTGGCCCCACACTCAAGACTTACAAGTGATTATTGTTGTGTTTTAACTCTAAATACATTACTATAATAAATTTCAATCATATATTATTATAATATTATATATGATACAAAATATTATAAAATTGTAATATATTTTAATATTTCCTTTAATATGGATTAGATCTGTTGGGTGTCACATTGTCTGTTTGATTGCTTAATATGTATTTATTTCACTTTTATTTTTGAAGCCTGCTTTAGCTGGGTGTACAATTCTAAGTTGGCATCATTTTCTTTCAGTATTTAAAAGATATAAAGCTTTGTAGTCTGCATTTTAGTGTTTCTTTTGAGAAGTCAGCTGTGAAACTTATCGTTGTTCCTTTGAGATTACTTTGAGGGTAATCTCTCTTTTTCTCTGTCTTCTTAAAAAATTTTTCCTTTTGTTGAATTTTAGATATACTGTGGCATGGTTAAGGGTGGATTAAACATACTATATGTGTATATATTTACATATGGGTAGGTGGATGTGTGTGTGTGTGTGTGTGTGTGTGCGCGCGCGCGCATGTGGGTATATATGATCACCCAATCCAATTGCAGGGACTGAGATGATTTGCATCTGTGCTACAGCCCTTTTGTGTGTTTATATACTATGATTCATCCCTGTATTTAGGTACAGCTCCTTTGGATCCAAAGGGAGTACAAAAGGTGTTGTACTAGATAAATGAACAAACTATAACTAAATGCAATAGCATAGATGACTCAAAAATGAATTCCAAAGAAATGAGATATGCAGACAAAAAACCCATATTATTTGTTTATATTTCTGTAATATTAAAAAAGATTGAACTGTAGCATTAGAAAAAGAATTTGTTAGTAGTAAAACTACAAAGGGTAAGCATGGTCATCATAAAAATCAGCATAATGATTACTTTGGCAAAAAAAAAGGATGGATTAGAAGGAAACACAGGAAGTCTCAGGGTTCTAGCAACGTCCTATTTCTTTTCTTATGTGGTGGTTCTACGTTGTTTGCTCTGTGATAATTCACTGTGCTTTGAATTTTCTGTTTTATACTTTTCTCGATACATGTGTTTACTTTAACATTAAAAGGGTACATAGATATAACACAAATCTGACTTTGTCAATGGCTCCCTTTGCCTTCAGGTTGGAGTTTAATTGACTTGCCTTGGCTTCAAAGTCCTTCATACGTTTGTTCCTGCTTATCCCACTAACTTTGTCTCCCTGTCACCCTCACGTCACATCTTCTACTATAGTCACAATGAACTAACAGTAGCTTCCAGAACATGGTCTCCCACATCTTTTGCCTTTTGCAAACACTATTCTCTATTAAAAGCCCCCTCCTCAGTCCCATTTATTTGATCAAGCTTCCACCACTTTTGGGGAGTAACCTCTTCCTGAACGTTATTTAGTTCTTCCTTAGGCAACATGAGGGGCTGTGATTCTCCCATCATGACATCTGCCACACTATGTGAGGCATTTTTCCTCACTTCTCTGTATCCTACAGGACAATATGTTCCTCTAGGGCAGGGAACGTTACTTATTTATCTTTCTGTCATTAGAGCTTTACTCAGTGCCTGTCACATGGTGATCTGAAAACATTTATCATTGAGTGAAAAAAAGACAACAGTGACAATGTTATCCTTTTTTGTGTTACCCAGGTAGATAATGAACAACTGAATTTAGATGACGAAGACATTGAAAACATTGATGTCACCAAATTAAGCCGTTTCGTTGAAATCAACAGTCTCCACTTGGTGACAGAGTACAATTCTGTGGTAAGTCCCTGAGTCAAGGAGGTCACTTGTCTTCATAGCAGAGATCCTTTCCTTCCAAAGTTCTGTTCTTTGACCAATAATGATAGTAACCATTCCATTAATTGAACATCTAGTCTGTTGCCTGTGTTACAACTTTACTACTATCCTTTAAGACTGATGGACTTTTCCCTATTAAACAAAGAAGCAGAGTCAGGAAAGTTAAATGACCTATCACATACTAGTAAGAAAGAGAGCCAGAATGCAAAGCTAAGGTGACTGATTCAAAAACTTTTGAGTTTTGCTGCCTGTGAGTGATCAGTGAAGACAAATCTGACCCCAGCAGCACTCTAAGCCGCGCTTCTCAAGCTGGATTGCATTCACTACTTAAGGTACATTTTCTTTCTCTCAAGCATCATCAGTAACCGAGGGTTTTGTAAAATCAAATAGAAGTAAATTACTATTCAAATAACATTTAAAAAAAATAAAGTTGCTTATCACATATTTGAATGTCATAGCAATGTAAAATTTTTATAAATGTCTTTAAACACCTATTTTTATTTCCTGTACATACCTCCTTATAGACCGGTAACACACATTTTCTACTCTGGCACCACCTACAGATCATGCTTTGACTATCATGTGCCTAAACACTCTGTGCCTCAGTCTTGGCTCCAGGCGTGTCTTCCTCTGGTATTTCATGCTGCATGCAATCTGGTGTAAAGGTGGCGAAGCACCTGTCCTGATCACTTTCTGGCCTTCTAACACTCTACAGTTTATAGAGGTATCTTATATGCTCTGCCCTTTATCCTGCCTGACATAGATCATAAGATGATGGAGTATTAATTTCTAGTTATCTATACCAGCTCAGAAATGCTATGCATTCTCCAATACCAGTATTTGACATGCATATTATGACTTTTTAGAACTTAGAAAGCCCTTTCACATTCATGTTTCTCATTTAATCCTGACTTTGACTTTCTTTGAGGTAGAAGGTAGGAAATTATCATGTCCATTTTATAAAGGAGAGCATCCAAGATCCAAGTGACAATATTCAAGGTCACATAATGAGTAAACAGAAAAAGAATAATTTAAGGCAGAAAATGTAACTGATGCATTAGCTTATATTGTCTATTTTCATTTTACAGTAGAGGAAATGAGAGTTCAGAAAGTTACTTCTTCAAAGCTCTATGGCTAGTAATTTGAGCTTCAGAGATAGCCTATGCACTTGACCATGCTTTGTTCATGACTGGGCTGTGTAACTGAGTCCTGTGTTTTTCTATTGCTTTACAACACCTCCAACAGAAAATATCTCTCTTCCTGTTGATTAAATTCCTGTCCACTTCTCACATCATCTTTGTTTCTGACAAGGTGGTGACTCCATTTCTACAGCTGATAAGATTTCAAACACATATATCCCTGGGGTGTTAGCAATATTAAAGAAGGCATTCTTCTCCGACACTGTCATCATTCTGGTCATTGTGTCTACAGAGTTTCCAGGACATATGGGACCAGACAAGATGATCCTGTGGTCCCTGGGCTATGACCCTGGTGTCCTGATGTTCTTCAGGCTAAGACAGGAGCAAGGACTGGCCTTTCTGTGTTCTTATGCCTGGTCCACTTCTCATCTTACAGAATAATGACAAATTTTTTAAGTTTCACATTACTGGTGAAGGCAGATCGCACCAAGAGAAAGCTAGTGGGAATTTATTTAGAGAAGCAAGTTCAAATTTTACTGTTACTTTTTTATTTCCCAGAAGTAATATTTTTCTTTTTTGGAAAGGTTTTCATTCTACTATAGTTATTTCTGATAGGCTGCTAGTGCAGAGGTTTGCACCAGTAGCAACAAGGCAGAAAATCACTGCCATATACTTTTAATGCACATGCTCAGTACTTGGATTCAAGGTGAAAACTCAGGCTGTGTCTGTTAGGATTAAACTAATCACTTCTGCTATGCCCAATCCCTCTGGTAAGACAACTGTACCTTCTGACTCCTTGTTTTTTATTCCTTGACTCTTCCCCCAAATTACTCTCCACTTTAGGAGGGTGGAAGTACACTCTAAATTTAAGTAGCAGAATCAAGTTAAACCAGAGTGAATTAATACGTCATCCAATCTCCCAAATGTAAAATATAAGACTTGATTTTAAACTCCAGGGATAAATCTCTAGAAAAAAAAAATCCAGAGTACCCTCCTTGACTACATATTGGCCCCCTGCAGCCAACAGAACTAGGGAATCTCTACAGATCCGTGTGTAGCTTCAGGAAGAATCCTGCCTCATTGCTCCCTTTCTCATTCTCCAGGGACTGTGTCTAGTGGTTTGTTAACCCACCATATTCTCTCTCCCTATATACACACTAGTTTACAGCTGTGTTTTCTGTATTTAGAAGGGGAAGTGAGAAGGAATGGGATTTGTTTAAAGGAGAGTTGCAGCATGATTTCAGGGCAGTGAAATGGAGAGAACCAGTGCCATAGTTTCACCCTCTCTCTCCTCTCCTCGCTTTGATCCTCTTCCCTAAGTCATTGACAACATCATGGGAAATCACCATCTGTAGTCAACTTAAAAGAGACAATGCTCTGGCCTCCTGAGGAGCTCATCTTCTTCTTGACCTGACGTAGATTGGTTCAACCAAACTTACGGTTGAATTGGTTTACATGGGATTTTGCCATCCACTGTGCATGAGGCTGTCCATCCTGATGGTCAAGAGCAGGGGTCCTCAAACTTTTAAAACAGGGAGCCAGTTCACTGCCCCTCAGATCATTGGAGGGGCGGACTATAGTTTAAAAAAAAACTATGAACAAATTCCTATGCACACTGCACATATCTTATTTTGAAGTGAAAAATCAAAACAGGAACAAATACAATATTTAAAATGAAGAACAAGTAAAGTTAAATCAACAAATTTTCCAGTATTTCAATGGGAACTATGGGCCTGCTTTTGGCTAATGAGATGGTCAATGTCCGGTTCCATATTTGTCACTGCTAGTCGTAACAAGTGATGCAAGTGTGCATCAGTTAGTCTAGATCTGGTTGGAGATTTCAGATGTTTCATTCTGGAAAAAGTCTGTTCACAGACATAAGTGCTGCCAAAGATGGTTGCCATTTTGAGTGCATGGTTCTTGAGATTAGGATATATCTCTGAGGGGAGAGATGCATAGAAATTAGGAAGGCTGCTTGACATGAATGCATCTTTCAGAGAGTCACAATTCTGCAGTTCAGCCAGTTCCATTTGGTAAATTGTATCCATATTTTCAATGTTAATAGAAAATGGGTTACGGAAAAGCTGTATGTCCTGTTCATGGAGATGAAGTTCTTTAAATCTAAATTGGAACTCCTTTTGCAACTTTTCCAGTGAATCCCCATGTTTTGTTTGGGAATGCAACCAGTGGTTTTTCCGCTAACAGATTTTGAGTTGTGGGGAGATGGCAGAAGTTTTCCTCCTTCACTTGTTTGATGAGGAGGCCTAATTTTATTTCAAATGCTTTCACATGTGATTGCATATCACAGATGAGTTTCCCCTTTCCTTGAAGTTATACATTGAAACTGTTGAGTAGCTCTGTTACATCTGTCAGAAGGCAAGGTGCCATTTCCATTCTGCATCATTGAGCTCTGGTACTTCTTTGTTTTTTGAAAGCAGAAAAGCTGTCATCTGCCGGGCTCGGTGGCTTAGCCTGTAATCCTGCGCCTCTGGGAGGCTGAGGTGAGTGGATTGCCTGTGCCTACGGGTTCGAGACCCGCCTAGGCAGCGAGACCTCATCTCTACAATAAATAAAAAAAATCAGCCGGGCGTGGTAGCGCATGCCTGTAATTCCGGCTACTTTTGGAAGGCTGAGGTGGAAGGATTGCCGGAGCCCAGCAGGTTGAGGCTGCAGTGGCCGGGGAGCGGCCACTGCACTCCAGTCTGGGCGACTGAGTGAGACTCCAACTCAAAAAAAAAAGAAAAGAAAAGCTGTAATCTGTGGAAGTAAGTCATAGAAATGTTTCAAAACTCTCCCTCGACTCAGCCAACAGACTTCTGTGTGGTACAGAACATCTTCATAGGCAACATTTAGCTCAGACAGAAATTCCTAAAATTGTCTGTGGTTTAGTGCATTAGCTCTAATGAAGTTAACATAAGATACCACAATTTTCATAACAGAGTCCCACTTCAGTGATTTACTACACAGTGCTTGTTGGTGGATGAGGCAGTGTATGGCTATTGGATGAGAATAGTTATGTTTGCCCCTCTCTTGGTTAATGCGAGCAATTACTCCTTTCTTAGACCCCACCATGCTAGGCACACCATCAGTTGTCACACTGGCTAGTTTAGCCCAGTCCAGTTCCAAACCATTCACAGTTTGGCAAACCTTTTCATAGATATCCTCTCCTGTAGTTGTTCCTTTGATGCTTTGCAGTGCAGCAAGCTCTTCTGTGACTTCGAAATAGTCATTCGTCCCACGAATAAAAATTAGACGTTGTGCAGAATCATGAACATCATTGCTTTCGTCGAGTGCCAAGGAAAAATAGGAAAGTTTTTTTGTGGATTTTTGCAAATGCTGATACAAATTGTCTCCCATTTCTTCAATGCTTCATGTAATTGTAGGTCCTGAAAGACTCACTGTACTAAATAAATCAGCCTTCTCTGGACACATCTGTTTGGCAACAGAAAGAAGGCATTCTTTAACAAATTCTCCCTCCACAAATGGTCTGCCAGTACATGCTATTAGCTTGGCAACTTGAAAACTTGCTCACAGTGATGAAATATTTAGCTGCTTCTGCTTCACAAAAGTATTTTGCTGAGTTGTCAATGTATTTTTCAGTTTTAATATTTTATCTTTTCTCACTTCTCCAACGAAACAATCATATTTGTCTTTATGTTGAGTTTGATAATGTTGACGCAAATTGTATTCTTCGAACACAGACACTATATTCTGGCATATCAAACACACAGCTCTTTCCTTATACTGCATGAAAAAGTAATCATAAGTCCACTGTTCTTTGAATATTCTACACTCCAAGTCAATTTTTCTCTTTCTTGACATCATTGATTCCTAGGGATTCCAAATTGCTATTAGTAAAATACATACATATACATATGTATGTATACACAGCACTACAAAAACAATATACCAGCAATAACTTTGCCCACACAGAGACATACAGACTGCACTGCCCATCAATGCAGTCTGATCAGTGTCCATCAATGCAGTCTGATCAGTGTCCATCAATGCAGCCTTACCAGTCCACATCATTTCAGCCTCATCAGTGCCCATGTTGGTGAAATTCCGCTTTTACCTCAGGCTCACACTGGTGCGGTGTGGGAACCGGCACGATTACAAAGCCAGTTCCTCCACCACCTTTCCAGTTCACACTACCCTGTGCAAACCGCACTGCGATCTGTGAACTCGCACAGGAATCTGATTGCATGGGTAAGAAGACCCATGCAATCCAATTCCACTGCAGGAAAAAAGAAGGCATGTATGCCTTTTTTCTACCAAATCTAATGCAAGTTCAGCCATACAAGCATATGACTGAACTCGCACTGCTCAGAGATCGCAACATTGTGAACCAGGGCTTACACATCACACAACATACAACATCATACACAACTGAATAGCAATCAGAATACAAATGCACTTACTGTCAATTAAATTGGGTTTCCTACTCCTTGGCTGTCTGCAGAGCAGGATTAAGTTCCCATGGGGCCCTAGGCTGATTACCAGTTTGGGGCCCCCATGCGATAACACTGAGCACTGACCATTTGCATTAGCACTGACCATTTGCATTAACACTGAGCACTGACCATTTGCATTAACACTGAGTACTGGCCATTTGCATTAACACTGACTGCTGACCATTTGCGATAACACTGACCACTGACAATTTGCATTAACACTGACTGCTGACCATTTGCGATAACACTGACCGCTGACAATTTGCATTAATACTGAGCGCTGACCATTTGCATTAACACTGAGCACTTACAGTTATCATTACCACTGAGCACTGACTATTTTCATTACCTCTGAGCACTGACCATTTGCATTACCTGAGCACTGACCATTTGCATTAGCACTGAGCGCTGACTATTTGCATTATCACTGTGATGCAACCCCCCCTAGAAACCACCCCCAACCAACTAACCAACTTCAAAAAAAAAAAGGCTCTCCTAACTTCAAAAAAAAGAGGCTCTCCTAACTTCAAAAAAACAAAGGCACTCCTAACTTCAAAAAAAAAAGGCTCTCCTAACTTCAAAAAAAAAGGCGCCCCCATCTGCAAAAAAAAATAGACCTCCTAACTTCAGAAAAAAAAAGGCCCCCCCCTTAACCGCAAAAAAAAAGGCCCTACTAACTGCAAAATTTAAAAAAAATAGACCTCCTAACTTCAAAAAAAATAAATCCTAACTTGTTCTTACCTTGGTCCTCAGGCAGCAGCAGGCTCTGCACAGGTAAGCTCGTGACTCGTCCATCACACCCGAGACTGAGAGGAGGAGTCAGAGACAGAGAGAAGGAGGGGAGTCGGAGAGTGGGACGCACATTCCACACATGCGCACTGCGGGACCAGACAAGTCGGCTGCTAGGCAGGACAGGCAGCGGGCAAAAACACCCGGTGGGCCGGATAAATGTCCTCGGCGGGCCGCATGTGGCCCGTGGGCCGTAGTTTGAGCACTCCTGGTCAAGAGCATGGACTCTGAAGCCAGACCGCCTGGTATGAATCCCAGTCTACCACTTATGCAACTTTGGGAGAGTTATTTAGTCGACCTGTGCCTCAACTTCCTCATTTGAAAAACAGATCTTGAAGATTAAATAGTTATTATATGTTAGGAGTTGAAAACAGTGCCTTGCACATAATAAACACTCAATAAGTATGAACTGCTAATATGTAGTCAAAGTCCACATTTTAAGGGTCTCTGAATAGTCAGGACCCTTAAAATTCAGATTCAGAAAAATTGAAAAAAGTGACTTCCATACTATGTGGTAATTAGTTTATTGCTGCATAGCAGATTGCTCTAAATCTTAGCATCTTCAAACAGAAAACATTAATTATTTCACAAAATTTCTGTGGGTCAACCAGTTTGGAGTGGCTAGGCTAGGTACTTCTGGTCTGGGGTCTCTCGTGAGGGTGCAGTTATCAGTCAGGGCTGCCGTCACTGGAAGACTTGCCTGGAGCTGGAGACTGACTTCCCAGATGGCTCACTCATATGGCAGGCAAGACAGTGCTGGTTGTTAGTAGGAGACCTTAGTTTCTCACCATGTGAATCTATTCACAGAGCTGCTTAAATGCCTTATATTGGAATTGACTTTCCTCAGAGCAAGGAATATACAAGAGAGCAAAACAGAAACCATAATGTCTTTTATGACTTAACCTTGCAAGTCACACACCATCTTTTCCACAACTCAGTTCAGCCCTACTCAGTGTGGAAAGGAAGGGTCTACACAGTTACATGAAAACAGGTGATGAGACTTACTGAGCGCTGTGTTGGAGGCTAGTTCCATGTATGTTGCTGGTGAACAGCACTCATTTATGTTTCAGGTCCTCTATTTACTGGGCTGCCACTAATGTGTTCTCTCTCTCTCTCTCTTCCACTCTCCTATAACACATTTCAACTTGCTAGACTGTGATTGGCCTATTTAACAGCATGATTCAGATACATCTTCTCCTGATGATGAACAAAGCCTCCCCAGAGTATGAAGAGAATATACACAGATACCAGAAGGCAGCCAAGCTCTTCCAGGGGAAGGTAAATTGGGATTGGGAATACCCTTTGGGAAATGTACCACCAGGACGCTAGAAAAAGGAAAATAGAACCAGGAAGCAGAGATAAATAAGGAAACAAGTATGGTTAAGAGATATTGAGGACATAATTACCCACATTACGTGAAATTAAAGATGTTGGGCTAGGCGTAATGGTTAATGCCTGTAATCCCAGGAAGCTGAGTGGGGATGATTGCTTGAGCCCAGGAGTTCAAGACTAACTTGAGCAACATAGCAAGACCCTATCTCTATCAAAAAAAAACATAGCAAGACCCTATCTCTATGTATTTTGTAATATTAAAGGCCTGTATAGTCATATCATCCTGTAGTGATTAAATCTTTTTTTTCCTGCATTGATTGGTGGGGAGAAAATAGAGACACAAAGATACCAAAAATAAAATCACCTATAAGTCATAATTTGTGAATTCTTTGAATAATTTATCAGAGTTTTAGCCCTGGAAACTTATTTCTCATACAAAATACCTATCAATTACCTAGTGCCTACTAGCTGTCCAGTGAATATTTCTTCATCTCCCCTTCTTTGTGAAGTTCTGCTTGATATCACTGAGATAGTAAAACTTCAATTACTTCAAGTCTACTGTGTTGAAGGTCTCCAGACCTTTCTAATGATAAGAAGCACCTGGTAATAAAATAAGCTGCCTTTCTGATGGTTGGTTCCCTAACACTGGAATTAGTCAGTGTTGCTGAATGTAGGTAGTCCTTTTATGAGAATATTATAAATATTTCTACTTTGGGTAGAAGTTTAGGTATAAGCCGGGCTCAGTGGCTCAGCCTGTAATCCCAGCGCTTTGGGAGGCTGAGGTGAGTGGATTGCCTGAGCCTGAGGGTTCGAGACCCACCTGGGCAACTTGGCGAGACCTCATCTCTACAATAAATCAAAATTATCCGGGTGTGGTAGTGCACGCCTGTAGTTCCAGCTACTCGGAAGGCTGAGGTGGAAGGATCGCCAGAGCCCAGCAAGTCGAGGCTGCGGTGGCCGGAAGCAGCCACTGCACTCTGGTCTGGGCGACAGAGCGAGACTCCAACTCAAAAAAAAACAAAAAACAATAAATTTAAAAAAAAATTAGCCAGGCGTGGTAGCGCGCGCCTGTAATTCCAGCTACTTGGAAGACTGAGGCAGAAGGATCGCCAGAACCCAGCCGGACGAGGCTGCGGTGGCCGGGAGCAGCCACTTGCACTCCAGTCTGGGCGACAGAGCAAGACTCCAACTCAAAGAAAAAAAAAACACTCAAAAAAAGAAGTTTTGGTATAATAATATAAAATAGTTACTGTTTATCAAGTACTTGCTAAAAACGGAACTAAAAATATTAAATGCATCATCTCATTTAATCTCCCTCTACTAGAGCTCATTTTGCAAATGAGAAAGCTGAGTTTCAGAGAGGCTAAGTAATCTGCCCAAAGTCACACAGTTAGCAAAGTACCAGAGACAGAATTTAAAATTTGTTCTCTGGGAAACTGCCAGGGGAGCAGGATGGGGGAGGCACACCATATCAACAAGGGTACCTGAATAATGAACATTTGTATACCCAACCTTGAATTGTGCCCCACATCTTTAAAAAAAATTTAAAAAAAAATTTAAAGGATACTTATATTTAATGAGTAAACAAATAAATAAACTTGTTCTCCTCCTTTAACCATTAGGTTATACTTTCTTTCTTAGATAATCAATAGTATCTCTTCCAATTTTATGTCCCTAAAATTAAATAAATCTGATCAAAGGGATAAAATACCCAGGCAAAACAAAATAAATTCATTTTAACTCAATTAAGATTTAAATTGTGTGGTGCAGACCACAAATTCTATTAGTGTAAACTGCAATAATTACAAGGTTTCTCTTCATCCCTAGGCCCTCAGATCTATTTCTTTTAAATTTCTCCAATTGCAGATTCTCTTTGTTGTGGTGGACAGTGGTATGAAGGAAAACGGGAAGGTGATATCTTTTTTCAAACTGAAGGAGTCTCAACTGCCAGCTTTGGCAATTTACCGGACTCTGGATGATGAGTGGGATACTCGGCCCATAGTGGAAGTTTCAGTAGAAAATGTGCAAAGCTTTTGTGATGAATTCCTAGAAGGGAAGTTACTGGTAAGTGTGAGACTACAGGTAAAGCAAGCTGAGTTTTCTTACTCTCGATGTCTCTTTTATTTCCTGTGGAAAATAAAATAGTCAGGTTCAGAGGCAGACTAGCCAAAGGTTCGTTAAATACAAAAGCACAGCCAGATAGGAGGAATGAGGTCTGCTGTTCTATAGCACTATAGGAGGACTATAATTGACAATGATGTTTTATATATTTTCAAATAGCTAGAAGAATGGATTTTGAATGTTCCCAACATGAAGAAATGATAATGTTTGAGATGATGGATATGCCAGTTAACCTGATTTGATCATTACACATTCTACATATGCACTGAAATATCACCTAGCACCCCATACATATATGTGATTATTATGTCAGTTAAAATAATAATAAAAACAGAAAAATAAATTTAAATAAAAAGAACTTTGGGGGGCTCTACTGGGTTTGATTAAGAGCAAAGGAATATGAGGATATGGTGGTAAGAGTCATGATGCTTCTTAGAATATAATAATTCGTGATAATAGAATTTAAAAAGCATTTTTGGAAAGATCTTGCATATCCAAGAAGCTGAATTTTGAGTTCCACCATTTAGTTTATGGTATTGATGAGAAATAAATCAAATTCCATATGGCAGAGTTCATGAGTTAAAATTGAGGATGGATTTAGGACTTCTGGGAATAATCAAATAGCTCCGTTTATTAATCTCAGAGCTCCAAAACAAGAGTAAACTTTAAATCTGAATATCAATGCTATGATGTTTTTCAGAGAGAAAATCATGAATCAGAAGAAAAGACACCAAAGGTGGAACTCTGATTTCTCCCTGGTATTGCATGCTACCAAGTATCTACTTTATGCTGAATATAAAAGGGGCAACTCAAACTTTAGAGACACTAAACAACAGTATCACCAGATCTACCCACCACACACACACACACACAAAGCTTCATTTTATTTCTTAAAATCTCATTTACTCTCCTTCTTCTAAATTTTCTCTACCTTCTCACTACCCACCCCGTTTCCTATCATGCATTCATACTGCATAGGCCATCTATGATACCACTAGATCAAGCTTTGAGAGAAATGCTGTGATCCTGCTATAAAGGAGAAACATTTCTAGGGAGATTATTCTGATTTGTCATTTAATATTGAGTTTGTTCACCGCACATGACTTACGCAATATTTTCTGTCCTTTTAGGGTTACCTAAGGGTTGAAACTCTACCTTCCTTTGTAAGCACATATGTTCCTCTGACTCAGGGCCAGGAACAGAAATAATCATTTTAAATACCTTTCTGAAATTGTCTTTTTGCCAGAAGCAAGAAGATGTCTCCAAGTCCCTGAACGCAGCAGAAACAGACCATGCAAAAACTCTATGCTTGTTTGGTATCCCTAATTCCCCGTGTAAATCAACAACTCACATAATAAATAAAAGGCAATAATGTTATAGGAAAAGACTGGCATCTCTTTGCAGGCCAAAACTTTTGTAAATACTCAGTTGACCAACTAAGCAGTATGTACCTCGCCCTCCAGTGCCCACTGTTTAGAATTGGGCCATAAGCCACTAATGTGTTATTGTTTACACTGTGGGTAGGATGGGTGGTAGGTAGACCCCATCCTGCATGAGGATTGGTACAGATGTGGTAGAGGAGCTACGAAGCGAATTAGGTAAAAGGTTGGGGAATGGATAGGAGAAGGGGTGCACTTGGCATTGGGGCTGGCTGCACAGACTAAGCCACGGAATACTGCAGGTGAGGTGTGCAAGCCAGCTCATGTGGGGCAGAAGGAGAGTTTGGCTGAGTATCTCTGGCTCATAGGCAGTTACTGTCAACACACAGATGCTACATTGTTCCCAGGAGGCTCTTGGCTCAGGAGGAAAGTGCCTAAGTGCTGAAGAGCTGAAAAACCACAGATGTACCTAAGGACTGGTCCAAGTGAGGAACAGGGAGTGAAAGGCTTGGTTGTTCCTTTCTGGGGGACAACTCCACAGTTCCTGGGTGGGAGTCAGCAACTGGCAATGGTGTTGTGAAAGCTGTAGAGTGTAGTGTGCCCAATGGCAAGGAGACCCAGAGATTCTGAGGAGGTCATCCAGTCCATCCCAGGCTGCAGAAAACCACCCAAGCAGCTCTTGCTTGAGGCTGAAAAATATTCCTAAGATAGGCACATCCCAGAAGGTTCCTTTTGATCTTGTAAGCCAGAGCTTTTGACATTTACAGTCAGGAAATTCTTCCTAATATACAGCTGAGGTCCTCGGGCCACTCAAGCTGTTTCTTCTTCTAACCTCCATGGAAATTCTCAACAGCTGCCAGACACTGGACCCAAATCAAGCCTTTAACTCCTTGCTGGCTGCTCTTAAGCCCAGCAAGGAGTTATTCAGGCTTCTTTCCTCCATACTCACAATTTAACTCTTTTATCATTTTGTTTTTATTTTCAAGACATTTGATTTACTTCATTGTTTTTCTCTCTTTCTTCTTTCACAACTTTTCCTCTCTGTTGCTAAAATAGTAGGAACCCAAATCATAGTAGGACCTATAAGCTACATTTTGTTTAACAGTGTGATAATTTTCAACTATTTTTGAAGTGTTCTCTCAATAATTATGATCAACACTGGCCATATAGGTTTTAACATCTTTACAATCTATTTTGCTGCTTGATTATTTCAATAGCAATTTTATTATATTTTATTTTGTGTACTTATTTATATGTTTATGGTAGCTCTGGGGACTCATGACCAAAGAATGGGACTTCAGAAAGAAGAGATTTCTAAAGGTTCTCATCTATTTATTAAAGATAAACCTCATATTATAAACTGCTGCAATTTCTAGGACCTTCTCTGACTTTGAATGATCTCTTCCCAAGACTCGATATTAATTTCTCCAAGACTGTATTCTTGTTGAACTATCTAGATATATCTCAGCTATTTTTCACTGTAGCATCAATCATTGGCCTTGCAGACAAGATAGCCATGCTTTTTCTTTAGAGTATAAAGGAAGTGGTAATATTATACAATAGAAATTTAAAAAGGACTTTAAAAGATTTGAAAGACTATGGTAGAGGGAAGAAGTCTGAGTGATGCAGGACCCAAAAGAATGACAGGAAAGTTTGAGTTTGGGTCTCACCTCTGTTACCTTGGGAAAACCATTTCTTATCTTTGAACTTCAATTTATTAAGAGTAATGTAATAATTCATAGGATTTTTTTGAGATTCGGGTGATAATCCAAATTAAGCAAAGTTTGGACATTGCTTTTTTAAAAAAATTAATACTATGTTGCCTTCCGTGGGGAATAGCCATTTCTGCAATTGTCAGAACTTACAGAAAAGCAGAGACTTCTTTTAGGGTCTTTCTTAAATAAATTAGCATGGAAGGTCTCACACTTGAGACTGGAAAAGTATTTGAGATAACTCTGTTGAAATATAAGTTTTATTATGACCCGAGTATGGGGAGGCCAACAGATCAGAAAATCAAAACATTAGCTGGGCGTGGTAGTACGTGTCTGTAATTCCGGCTACTCAGAAGGCTGAGGAGGAAGGATTGCCGGAGCCCAGCAGGTCAAGGCTGTGGTGGCCAGGAGCGGCCACTGCACTCCAGTCTGGGCGACAGAGTGAGACTCCAACTCAAAAAACAAACAAACAAACCATTGAAAAGAGAGTTATTCACAGTTCTCAAGAAGGGGAAGCATGTCATGCCATGCAGGGCCACATGGGGAAGCACCAGGATCAGTCAGGAGGCAGAGAGAGAGAGGGGGAATTACAAGAGCCTTGATTATGATTTCCATGGGAAGAAATGGTGGGGCAAGGTAAGAAGACTTAGGATTGGCTGGTTTCAATAATTGCAGCAGGTTCTGAGTTGAGTAGAGCAAGTGAGTGGTAACCAGAGTGGAAGAGTATTGTGAGAGTTCCATAAAGGAGGTAGTTGGTGTATGGGCTCTGGATTGGTTGATTTGCACATGAAAGATGTGCTAGCAAGTGGGTTGTTGATAATCTCCAGAAATTGACTAGGAGGCACATCTCTCCAGGGTCAACAAGGCCTCAGATGTCAAAGCATCGGAAACACATGGTTAATACATGTTTTGGGTCGTGATAGAAAGGAAGACTATTTTCATCAGGCTTATCATAATACATAGATACCTTCAATGGACAGGGATAGGATGGAGGCTGAGTGATGCATTAAGAGAGAGCATATATTTATTTATTCATTTAAATTTTTATCAGCTCCCTATGAATGCACTAGGCAAAACTGCCTCCAGAGAGCAGAGTAAAATTGGCTTGATGAGCTGTAGAACAGAGAAGTATTAGCTATAGTGATATCACGCAATATAGAAGCCACCAAAATAGTTCCAGACCATGGACAGGAAGCAACAGAACAGGGAAAGTGAGATACAGGAAAAGAGGAATGCTATGGAGGGGATAGGTCAGAAGGTCAGTAGTGGGTTGAGGAAGTCCCAGAGTTAGGGGAGGAGGAACTACAAAGGAAATAGTCTACCACCATCATGGACAAACTATTTCACAATCAAATTTGGATCCAGCCCTACTTATTTCACCTTTCTGAAAATATCTGGTCTTCTAAATAGAGAAAAATAAGGCAGGAAGTGAGGTAGATTTAACCTATGGCTCCTAATTGCAGAAACTTTACATGGAGAAATCTAGAGAACAGAAAAAGGAGGAAGCTAAACACGAATATCTTTTGAGTTTTGAACCTTTGGAGAAAAGATACTCTAGAAACCAAATAAATAAATGCATTTCAAAATCATACTTCTGTAAATTTGAAGGTGATTCACCTTCCTTCAAATTATTTCTAAGATGGGTCACTTTTTTCTTTCCATTCTGGAACCAGAGGTCATTGTTTTTGTGGGCTTGATAAAATATCCAACTCATACTAGGAGTGGAAAGGTGTGGGTGAGTGAAAAGTTAGGGAGTTAAGCTACTTCAATTTGTTTTAAAAAATTGTGTAGAACCCAAATTTATGTTTAATTATCCAAACAATTTCCCTAAGTCTTAATAGCAGGATTTAATTTTTACATTAGCTCACGGATCTCAAAATGGTAACATGGCGTTAGCCTACCCTTAAGGAAGAAAAAATAGAAAATATTTGACATAATTGAAGCTGTGGTGAAGTCAGAATTTTTAAATTAGCAAGCATGTTGTATTATAGATCATGTTTCCCAAAAAAAGACTCTGAGACTAAATTCCCTTGCAGGAAATGTACTGAAAAGTGATCGGGGACCTGTGGGGGATCGAGGGAAGTAGAATTGTGCAAAACATTAAGCTGGGCTTTGATGCAGTAACAGCAAAGGCTCAGGTTATCTCATGGGGCTATCCAGTATGAAGAAGTCCTTGTAGAGTGTCTCAGATTGGAGAATGAGCACCGGGCCTTTATACCCTGACATGGATCATTTGGTGCAGGTTGCACATAGGAAAGGTGTATGTTTCTGGGCAAGGTGGCTCATTTTAGCACAGGGAAATCTCTGGGCTAAAGGTTGGTGGGTAAGACTCAGCTAAGAGCTGTTAGCTGTCAGCATTCTCAGAAGCTGGAGGAAGAGTGCTTCTGTTTTAAAGAGGAGTGTAATCTGTGTGGTTCACCACAGTATCCACTACACATGCCTAAAAAGTGTCCTCTTTTATCCTACCATTATCACTGCACAATGCCATGCAAAAGAATGAGGAGAGAATTGATTTATTTTATCAAATAAAATATGTAGCACCCTCATTGATTTTGTATTGGCAGAGAACACATGTCTATGTTGTCTACACAAAAAGGATTGGAGCAGATTGCCAGGTGCCATACAAGAGTATTTGTTCTCACAGTCATCCTCATCAAACATTTACCAAGTGCCTACCGTGAGATAAA